CAGCCCCTGCTTAACCTCTCCAGGCTCAGCTGTCAGCTCCCACCACTTCCAGCCCCATCCTTCAGCCAGCGCTTGATTCCCACAAACCCCGCTGTGGCCCAGCTCACCTCCTGGCCTTTGCCTCTGCTTCCCCTCTGCCTAGCGTGCCCTTCCCACTCCACATCAGTCACTCCCCACTCACCCAGTCTTTAAGCCTCCATGCAGGCATCACATTCTCCTGGAAGCCATCCCTAAATTTGGCATTTTCTTCCCCTCCTTCCATATTCGTTTCCTATAACCTGCAATACACCACGCACGTCCTCATTGTGGTCTCAGCCACATAGTGTGGTGATTAATTATCTGTGTACAGTGACAACAGCTTCCCCTGCATGAGAGATTGTCACCGTCACAGTGGGGATAGAGATAGAAACATTTCCAGAGCTTCAGAGGCAGCTCAAGGGAGCCCAGCAGCTCCCAAAGTATGCGAAGTGAAATGATGTTCGGTACTTTGCAGACAAACATTTTTAATTGTAGTAGTCTGTGTTTATTTTCCTTCCTGTTATGGCAAGAGATATTGGTTTTCCATTTATAATCATGATTACGTTTTTTTCCTCTTTAAGATGCATTTAAGAAAGAAAAGGAGTCAAGTGGAAGAAAAAGTAGTAACTAAATAATTGTACAGGTTGTAGGTGGAAGTGGCTAAAGTCATTAACGTTGTCTATGTGAAAGGCTCAAGCCTGGGCAACCGTAGTGGAGCAGAACACTGGCATATGCTCAAGCCTTGCAGATGGGGAGAGGAGGCCTGTGTGCCAAGCCCTGTGCTAGGTCTTAGGGATCCCAGGACCAGGACCCAGCACCCACCTCTCAGGGGACCACAGAGCTTTGGGAGAAGATAGCAAATAGGGGTAGTTACCACCCAGAATATCTTCAAGTGCTGGGATACCTTGAAACACCCTTGGCTGCAGAGCATTGGGGCAGAATGGATTTAAGAGAACTTGCTAGAGGAGGTGACCTGAGTTGAGACTTCACAGACGAACAGTAGGGCAGGCAGAGAAGATGTAGAGGTGAGAAGGTCAGAAGGAACAGTATGTGTGAGGTCCAAGGGTGAGAAAAGACCACATTGTCTGTGCAGAGTGAGACGGCCAGTCTCTTCACCTACTCATAGCTGACTGGAAGGCAGCTTGTGGGTGGAATAGATGTGTGATCTTGGGCAAGTTCCCGAGGCTTTGGAAGCCTCAGCTTTCTCATCTGTGAAATGGGTCATCTGTGAAATGGGACAGTATCAAGTACCTCTTGGCATTATTGTGAGAATGTTGGTGAGAGATTCTGGCTCCTAATAGGATCTCAGCAGACATGAGTTCTCTCCCTCTGTAGGTTTTTGGGATTGGAGGGGAGGCGTCTGGTGTGTTACAGGGTGGAAAAAGGACGTGATGGTGGTGGAAACAGAGCTTGGTTTCCTGAACCCACTAAGTTCTTGAGGCAATAACTATTAACTCCAGATTCCCCAGAGAACAGAGTTTGACTTTTGTGCTTGATTTGAGAGGAACAAAGAGAAAACTCAGGGCACCCCAGGGAAAGCAGCATCAGATGGACTGGGATGGGCTCCATGGAGGCTTTGGCCGTGGAGCAAGAGACTGATGCTTGTCAGATGTTGGCAGGCGTATCTGGGAGGTGGGGGAAGGCAGGCAGACTAAGCTGGAGCCTCTTGGGCCTGCCTTCACTTTCAGGGGCCACCTAATAAGCCCAAAGGAGGAAGCAGTGTGTGCAGGCACTGGGTGTGCCAAAAAGCATTGCACACCATCTAAAGACAGCAGCTGTTACTAAGTGAGGATCTACTTTGTGCTGGGATCCAAGCTGCTATACTTCCAGACTCGGAAGGTATTTTGGCCGTTTTCCAGGTGAGGAAACTGAGACTTAACAAGAGATAAAACAAATAAAGGTCCATTTGTTTTTTGTTTGTTTGTTTGTTTGTTTTGTTTTGTTTTTTGAGACAGAGTCTTGCTCTGTCACCCAGGCTGGCGTGCAATGATGCAATCTCAGTTCACTGCAACCTCTGCCTCCCAGGTTCAAGCAATTTTCGTGCTTTAGCCTCCCAGGTAACTGGGATTACAGGCATGCGTCACCATGCCTAATTTTTGCATTTTTAGTAGAGACAGGGTTTGACCAAGTTGGCCGGGCTGGTCTCAAACTCCTGACCTCAAGTGATCTGCCCGCCTCAAAAGGTTCATTTGTAATAGTCTGTGTTTATTTTCCTTCCTTTTATGGCAAGTGATATTGGTTACCAAGCAAGGAAGGGACAGAACTGCTGTTAGAATCCAGATCTCTGTGACCTCCAGAGCCCAGGTCTGTGTGCTCTGCTCGTTTGCCTTTTGTGCAGAGGTAGAGGGAGGTGTTAAAATTGAAAAGCAAAAGACCAGGTTGGGGAGAGAGCATGCTTGTGCTGCCTCCTGCTACAACCCAGAGGGGTGACAGATTTCCCAGAGCCAGGCTTCCAGGCAAAGCCAGGAGTGGCATTGGAGAAGGGAGCAGAGGAGATGCCGGCCCTCTACCTCCTCCCAAGGGGATCTGCAAACTTCATGTTCCTTCGTGTTTCCTTTGTGTCTGCAAACCAGCCAGTCCATTTACTTCCAGTCCTTCTTAGATCCTCCCAATGCTTTGGGCCACTGCTTTGGGCCAGGACAGGTAGAAGGCACAGGCGGACTGTGGGGCCCCCCACCCTAAGCTTCTTGGGAGCCCAGAGTTTGAGCACCAACTTTTAGTGTGTGACTTTGGCAAGCCATTTGCCCTCCTTGAGCCCAAGTTTCCACCCGTACGATGAAGATGTCAGTTCCCGGCCCCTCCTTCTCTGAGCCATGGAATCCTCTAGTGTTTGGCCTCTGGGTCAGCCCAGGAATCTAGCCAAGGGATGGGGCCACCTGCTTGGTGGGCTTGCCTCCCCCGCCCGACCCTCTTCTTGTCCCAAGCAGAGTCTCTCCTCTGCCTTGTTCGACACAGCTCCCAGCAGCTGTTCCCTGGGCCCAGGCAGAGAGCCCGGCTTGGCGTGTCTCTGGCTGAGGCCGATGAGAGAAAACAGGTTAAAAGTTCAGCCCTTGTTCTCTCCAGGAAGAAAAATCTGTAGCATTCGGAGTGTGAAAAGGAACCCTTTTTTCAGCTCCAAAGCTGCATAATAGAACTTCCCTCCAATTTGCCATCAAAAAGATGCCCTTGGCACTGGCTCCACCGTCCCTGGCACCCTTACCCCACACCCCCTCCCTGTGCCAGCCCCCAGTGGAAAGGGACACAGTGACCACAGGCGGTCACGGGGATGCCAGTGCACAGGGACACAAGCCACAGGCGGTTGTGGGGACACTTCTGCATCCTCTCTTGTCAGCTCATGGGTCTGACTGGGGTCACCTCTGGCCAAATGCTTCCTCCTGTCCCCACCCTTTATCCCCACCACCCCTGCCATAGTTCAAGCCCTAATTATCTGCCATTTGGAACTTCTGAGCTGCCTGGACACTGGGCACACAGCCCCAATCTCCTGGTCCTTGTCATTTAGCCCAGACCATTAAACTAATTGTTTGAAGTGCCTAAAGGTTTATAGGCTAGGAGGCAAGACACCTGCACTTCCCACTGTGCCGCCAACTCCTGTGCAATCTTTGGAAGCCCCTTCTCACCCCTGTGCTTCAGTTGCCCTGTCTCCGAAAGGAGGCAGTTGGGCTGGGCCAGGGACAGCATCTCTGGTTTATATTTGTTTCCTGGAATACTGTGGCAAGAAGTATCATGTGGCCATAGTATAGGAATTGATGAGTGATGCCTGCCCTGGGCACAGAATTGGAGCATGGCAGCAAGCATACCTCTTACCCACTCTCACCGAGCAAGGTGGTGTCACTGTGACCTTCTAGGTCTCTCCCCCTACTGTCTCATAGCTATTTATATTCATACCTCATCTCCATTGCCAGACCAGGAACTGCTCCATGGTAGGGTCTTGCTAGCCACAGTTTTCTCTCTCAGGGTGCCCAGTGCAGTGCCTGGTACATAATGGGCATCAGGATATTTTGTCGAATGAATGCTTGAAAGGGGTTCATTTAAATTCATTCGGTGTATTGCAATTCCATTCAGAAAGTGTTTGGAAGCCAAAGAGGCCAGGAAGGGGTAGAAGAGAGGGGTCCTGAACCTGACCTGGGGAGAATGGGGGTCTCCAGGGCCATGTGGCTCTTCTTCCCCCCTAGGCCATGTGGCTCCCTGCAGCTGCTGGAATTGGGGGAGGCAAGTGGGGCTCAGGATGGTCCCAGACGCTGATGTGTCTCCTGAACCCCCACAGGCCATGTGACAGTTGGCCCCTACTGGGTGCAGTGCTTGCTCTCAACACTTCTCCACTCCCAGGACCCTGTCCTGGGGGCAGAGTTACCTGAGCCCTGGGGGAGGGACCTCAGCCACAGGAACATGATGGAAGACTCCAGGTTTCTAGAGAAAGGGAGAGTGTCTTGACAAGATGTGTGCGCCAGAGGGGCAAGGAGGGGAAACTGGGGGGTCTCAGCTGGGACACAAGAACAGCCCGTCTAAGGCCCAAGTTCCAGTTTTTGAGAGTTTCATGCATGCTGAAAAGCAAACAGATCCCCAGAGTTTGATGTTTAGTGGCAAGACCCAAGAGTTTAGTGGCAGACCCTCTGAAACCCATCCAGTAGACCCCAGGTTTAGTGGATGTAAGACCCTCCCCGTCCAGAAAAGGAAGGGAAGGACAGTACCTAGGTTAGTGGGATTAGACTGGCTGAGAGGTAGAGCCTGACCACGATGTAAGGGTGGACTTGGCCTGGAGGGGTGGGGCCTAGAGGAGTGGCATTAGATGATTGGCTAGGCTGTGGGGGTAGGCGGGATAATGGAGTAGAGAGGCGGAGTCTAAACCAAGAGCAGTCTGGAGAATTAGAGCCAGATGACTGGGGCAGTGGAAGTAGGCGGAGCTCTCTGTAAAGAAGGATGAGGGCCCAACAGAGAGATTGACAGCACCTGGTAGGTGGGGCGGAGCGGTGACTCTTTGCTCTCCCCCACAGAAACGCTAATGGACTCCACTACAGCGACGGCTGAGCTGGGCTGGATGGTGCATCCTCCATCAGGGGTGAGTCAGTGGTCCCCAAACCTTGCATTGGTCCCCAGGATCCCTCAAACCCTGCTGCAGGGCCCGAATGCCCCCTCATATTCTAACCCCTTTCTCCCTCTTCAGGGCCCAGAGCCAGGCCTCTCTCAGCCCCACCCTCCCAATCTCCTACTATTGATGGAGCCATGATCCCCTACCATTGATGGAGCCAGTTACCATGACAACAGGCTGGATGCTTTCAGCCTTTATCCCGTGGAATCCTTAGGGCGAGGCTGAGAAGTAGGTGCTCGCACTACCCCCGTTTTACAGATGAAGAAAGTGAACTGTCATTTCCTGAGTACCCACTCTATGTCAGATACTGTATTAAGCACCCTTATACACATCATCTCTAATCCCATAGAGAGGAATTATCTCCATTTTACAGATGAGAAAACTGAGGCTCAACAAGGTGTAGCCACCTGCCCAGGGCCCTATAGATAATAAGTGAGGGGCTAAGGTTTATATTCAGGACTATGACTGAGCCCTCTCTGCCCGCTTTCTGGGTCCCCATAACACAAAGCTCCCCATCCTTTGGCTCTTATCATCCTGGGGTCTATGTTGTGAGCTCTCCAAGAGCAAAATCTGGCATAAGTTACAGGCTGTGGGGTCAGATAGTCCTGAAAATCTGTCTTAGCTCTGCCACTCACCAGCTGTGTGATTTGGGGCCAGTTCCTTAATCTCTCTGAGCTTTAGTTTCTTCCTCTATAAAATGGTGATGATGTCTTAGACCTCACAAGACTGTTGTGAGGTTTTCCTGCAAAGTGTCTAACACAATGCCTGGCATAGATTGGGCTCCCAGTCAAGAGAGCTATAATCATCGTCAACATTGTCATTGTCATGAAGTTGAATATTCATCCCTCATCCCCGTGGTCTCTGGGGAGGGCTCTGGACTCTACAACCCAGCCCTTCCCTTCCCCCCACCCCGGTTGCTCCGCTGGGACTCAGCTGCTGCCCCAGGGAACTGCGTTCCTCCCACCCCCCAGGCTTGTGTTCTCAATAGGCAGGGCCCCAGGGTCAGGCCGCTTTCTGTGGCTCTTTCTTGTCACCAATTTTCCATCTGCGAAGGCGGCTGGGCCCACAGCCCCACCCTGCCAGTAATGAGGCCAGGCTGGGCTGCAGGGCCCCCGGACGCAATTATTTGGGGTGTTTAGGCTGCAGGGCCTCCGCATGTTAATTAGAGAGAGGGGAGAAAGGCAGAGTGCTCTAATTAAGTGTTCTAATTAAGTTCTGAAGAAGAGCAGCGGTTGTAACAAGGGACTGACTTTGTCACATGGTGCCACCAAAAAAAAAAAAAAAATTAATGCAATGTAGGGAGCTTCAGAGTCGCCGTTGAAGAAGAGGCTGAGCCAGTCAGCTCCAGACCTGCCCTCCCTGTGTGCACTCACCCTTCATCGCACCTGACCCTCCCCAGGCTGCCAGCCCCTGCTCCACACGCACAGACTTGGCCCAGGGAATCTGAGTGGCACAGGATAAAGGACACCCACTTGAGGGGGACACCTCTTCCATCAGCTGCCACTCCCACAGGCACATTTGGCAATTGGAGGCCCAGGAGGGAGAAATGGCTTGTCCAAGGCCACTCATCAAGTTAGTAGAGCTGGGACTAGAACCCGGGACTCCTGGGGCACACTTGGGGTCCTTGTGTTTCCAGGCAGCACGGGCAAGCACACGAACAGCTCTGGGTCTGTGTGGCCTGGGCCAAGTGACCTCACTTCTGGTCTCTACTCCCTCGCCTTCTGTAAAAGTGGTCTAACCGTATAGACCATGTGTGATAATCACACCAAAGAAATGAGATTCTGTTAGGGTGCCCAGCCCCGGACGTGGATGGGAGAGGGGACTCTGCTGTTGGGGATCCTTTGGGTCTACCCCAGGTGAAGCCAGCCAACACCAAGGGGAACACAGGAGAAGGACAGGAGGGGTGGCTGCCCTCAGCAAGCTCTCAGTCCCACTGACACTGGCCCAAGAGGGCTGAGTGTACTGGGCCCTCACGCAGGGAGACTATTCCCGAAGGCCCTTGGGAAAGTTGGTGAATGCAAACAGCAGCAGCCAGAGAGCCTGGTGCAGAGGAGACCAGAGATGGTGCTCCAGGAGGGCACAGAAGTGTGCAAAAGGCTCAGCAGTGGGAACGAGCCTGCTCCATGAGTGTGAGGAGATAACCCGGGTCCACCCTAGGCCCTTCCCGCCCGAACTTTCCACCACTGGGCCCAGCGCCCTGCAGCGGTGAGGCTTGGCACCTCTCTGCTGGGTTTGTGAGATCCCAGGCTGCCCCAGAGAGGGTACGGGAGTACCTTCCCCAGGCAGGGAGGGTGGGCGGCCTCCCTCCAGGTACCCGAGAGCAAATTCTAGCAGCCGAAAGCCCCAGAGCAGAGCTGTTCTCATGGGGAAGGACCCTGTCTTCCCCATCATCCTAGGCGTTCACTGAGGATGAGGACTGTCTTCCTCCATCGGACTGAGAGTTCCCAAGGGCAAGGGCTCTCTCTCCCTGATCAGACAGGGGGCTCTCCGAGGGCAGAGGTTCTGTCTCCTCCATCAGACTGGTAGCACCCCCCAACCACAAAGCTGTGTCTACTTTCATCAGAAAGAATTCCGTAAGCGGGGAAGGGTTCTCCCTATTTTCCCCTTCCAGGTGGGAACTTCCTGGCCAGAGTCCCTGTCTCCTTTATCAGATTAGTGTACCACTGACAATAAGGGCCACGTCTGCCCTGTCAGCTAGCAGAATACCAAGAGAAGGATGTGTGCCTTTCCCACCTGATTGGCATGTCTCCCCCATCAGATTGGGAATTCTCTGATGTCTTCACCATTAGACTGGAGGATTCCCTAAGGCAGAGTCTGTGTCTTCCACCTTAGACTGAGTGTGTGCTGGGGCTGAGCCCTTACCTCCCCACCTGACGAGCATTTTACCCACAGTGGGAAGAGGTGAGTGGCTACGATGAGAACATGAACACGATCCGCACGTACCAGGTGTGCAACGTGTTTGAGTCAAGCCAGAACAATTGGCTACGGACCAAGTTTATCCGGCGCCGTGGCGCCCACCGCATCCACGTGGAGATGAAGTTTTCGGTGCGTGACTGCAGCAGCATCCCCAGCGTGCCTGGCTCCTGCAAGGAGACCTTCAACCTCTATTACTATGAGGCTGACTTTGACTCAGCCACCAAGACCTTCCCCAACTGGATGGAGAATCCATGGGTGAAGGTGGATACCATTGCAGCCGATGAGAGCTTCTCCCAGGTGGACCTGGGTGGCCGCGTCATGAAAATCAACACCGAGGTACGGAGTTTTGGACCTGTGTCCCGCAGCGGCTTCTACCTGGCCTTCCAGGACTATGGCGGCTGCATGTCCCTCATCGCCGTGCGTGTCTTCTACCGCAAGTGCCCCCGCATCATCCAGAATGGCGCCATCTTCCAGGAAACCCTGTCGGGAGCTGAGAGCACATCGCTGGTGGCTGCTCGGGGCAGCTGCATCGCCAATGCGGAAGAGGTGGATGTGCCCATCAAGCTCTACTGTAACGGGGACGGCGAGTGGCTGGTGCCCATCGGGCGCTGCATGTGCAAAGCAGGCTTCGAGGCCGTTGAGAATGGCACCGTCTGCCGAGGTAAGGGCCAGGGCGGGGCACGTGCCCCTGCAAATGCATAGAACTGGTCTTGACTGCAGACTCGGGCTGCAGACTTGGGCCTGGCCTCTAAAGCTCAGAGCTGACCATGAGGCACTCTAGGGCCAGGCTTTCCAAACTGGCAACCATCGCTCAGCTTCTTAGAGGGAGGCACTTGAATATCGCACTTCCTGAAAACGATCCATGCACATCCTGCAGGTGGTATTCCAGATGATCTGGGTTGGCGTAGGATAAAGGTTTTTTGTTTACGTCATCATACGAGTATGTCAAGTGGTGTCTTTTTCTTCATTTACAAAGGTGATATGGTTCCCCTTTTAAGAAAACGTATGTTATAATAAGTAACATTTATGTATTAATAAGGTAACATTTTTTGAGCTTTTACTCTGTCAGTATAGACCGGACAATGCTGAAGTGACGAAACAATACAAGTTTATTTCTCCCCTTAATGCTCCATATCCATTGTGGATCAGCTTGGGACTCCTCCCTCTGAGAGTCAAACGGATGGAGCGCCACCATTCGGGATGTTGCCGTCCACAGGGCAGACGGTGGAAGGAGTGTGGCAGATGGATTACTGGCTTTAAAGCTTCCACCTGGGATGCACCCCCGCCGTAACCTCTGTGTGCATTTCACTGGCCAAAGCAAGTCACAAGGTTACTTCCTATTCAAAGAGATGGAGAAGTGCGATTTTACCGTGAGCCAGGCCCACGACTCCCCCTTGTACTATATGCTGAGCACTTCTGTGACTTAATTCGTTTAATCCTCACAAGGACCCTGTGACAGAGAGTACTGTTGTATATGAAGAAACTGAGGTTCAGAGAGCTGAAGCAGAGACTAAGTAGAGGATCTGGGATTCCAAAACCCACCCTCTTAACCACCATGCCACACAGTTAGCTTAAGGAGAACTATTAAGTAAGTGTAAGTGATGTTTGAGTACGGCAGAGAACCGTGAAGGTGGTCTGCAAACACGAGAAGTTTGTGAGAGGTACAGCCTGGTGCTAAGAAGGCTGTGAAGGTTGAAGGACCTGGGTTAAATCACCCCTGCCAGTCACTAGCAGTATCACCTTGGCCAAGTGTAAAACCCTCCTTCCTAGGTTGGTGTGAGGAGTCAGGTACTTGATGCATGCAAAGTACTTGCGATGGTTTCTAGTACACAGGAAGTGCTTAATAGATGTAAACTAAATGACAGGATGTGTACAAAGCCCAGGTGCTCAGCCTGTGAACTGCAGTGGTGGTGCTGGGGGTGTAGGGGACTTGAAGCTGCCTGTGTCATGTCCTCTTGCATTCCCCATTGGATTCAGAGGTTGGGGCCAGATCCTGGGGTGCCTCAGATGCCAGGCTAAAGGTTTGGACCCTAATCCAGTGTCCTTGGAGAGCCAGGGAAAGTTTAGCCGGGGGATGGTTGCAGTGATCCTCAACCTGATAAAATGCTTGTTAAATCTACCAGCTCTGTGGTTCCTCCCTCTAGCCCTCTGAGATAAGCAAGGCAGCTTTTCAAGATACCTAGAAGGACAGATGGGGGTGCCAGAGACAGGAGGAGGGGGCCTATAGGGGAACCATTGTTGTCATCTCAAGAGACAGTGGCAGCCTGGAGTGGGGCGTGCACCAGTGCTGGGGAAGAGGAGAGGTAAGATCAAAGGATGTTTTGCCAATGAAAGGGATGGGATGGGAAGACAGGATGGAAAGGGAGGAGAGGGAAGAATCACAGAGAACAGGGCATTCCAGCTTGCAGGAAGGTGATGGTTCTAGGAAAGAAATGGGCAAGTTAGGAAAAAGGGCTGGTTTCTTGGGGAAGATAACAAATTTGGTTTTACGTCCTTGGGTGTAAAAGTGCACAACCTTGGGGGACGGCAGTGGTGAGACAGGGTGTGGGTGGCAGAACAAGTGAATGGGAAACCAGCCACTCATTTTTGATGGTCCGTTCATTCATCAAACTTTTACTGAGCCTGCTCTGTCAGACCTTATGCTGAGCATCAGGCAGTACAGAGAAGAATCAGACTGTGGCTCTGCCTTCTGGAGCTCAGAGTCTAGCAGGGGAGACAGACATATAAATGTACAAAGGTGTGATGTGTTAGACTTGTTTTAATAGGAACTGCTCAGGCTACAGTGGGCACAGAAAATGACAGAAGGCTTCACAGAGGAGGTGACATTGGAGCTGAGTCTTGGGTGGGTGACCCAGGAATGCTGGAGGATGGAGCTGCATGAATAAAGGCCTGGGAACGTGAATCAACTTGGCCCATTAGGGAGGCAGGTTGGTATGGCCATAGCTAAGGGCTGGAGGAGGGGTGTAGGAAGAACTGCAACAGGCAGGGTGTTCAGATGAGAAGATATATTCGTTACCTGTTGCTGCATAAAAATTATTCCAAGACTTAGCAGTTTAGAACAACCAACAGGTTAGGTGTGGTGGTTCATGCCTGTAATCCTAGCACTTTGGGAAGCTGAGGCAGGAAGATTGCTTGAGCCCAAGAGTTTGAGACCAGCCTGAGCAACATAGTGAGACCCTGTCTCTACAAAGAAAGAATAAGGAAAAATTTAGCCAGATGTAGTGGTGTGCATCTGTAGTTCCAGCTACTCAGGAGGCTGAGGTGGGAGGATCGCTTGAGGCTATAGTGAGCTATGATCATGCCACTGTACTCTAGCTTGGGTGACAGAGCAAGACCTTGTCTCTAAACAACAACAAACGTTCATTATCTCATAGTTTCTGAGGGTCAGGAGTCCAGGTGTGGCTTAGCTGGGTACTTCTGGCTCAGATTTTCCCGTGAGGTTGCACTCAAGGTGTGGCCTGGGGCTGCGGTTTCATCTGAAGGCCCGACCAGGGAGGAGTCTGCTTCTAAGGTCACTCACAGGGTTCTTGGCAGGACTCTGTCCCTCAACACATGGGCCTCTTGCACGTGCAGTGACATTGCCCAGAGTGAGAGAGCCAAGAGAGAATACCAGCAAACACCCAAGACAGAAGCCACAATCTTTTATAACCTAATCCAGAAGTGACATCTCACCACTTCTGCCATATTCTTTGCATTAAAAGCAAGTCACCCAACTCAGAGTCAGAGCTGCTCCTTGCAGATGGTGAGGGTGCAAGGTGGGGCAGGGGTAAGGTGTGCCCAGCCCTGGCTCCCTTCCAGGTTCCCTACCACACCCATCTTCCCCTGTACCTGACAGCCTCCCCAAGGCCCCAGCCCAGCTCAGCCATCCACTGAGTGTGAGTGGGGGCCAGTCAGGGTGTGATTAATGAGCTCAGGGAACCCAGAAGGACACCAGCTGTTGCTGTGGCCTGTGCTGCTGTCACCCAGATGTGAGGCTGCTGCAGGCCAAGCCCCATAGGCACTGGCCCCACTGGAGCAGGACGTGTAGGAATGGTGATTCCAGCTCACATTCAAGTAACATTGGTCAAGTGCTTTCTCGTCCTCTAGCTTAGGGCTTCTCAATCTTTATTGTGGATCAGAGTCACCTGGTTAGTTGGTTAAAGTGTAGGTTTCTAGGTCTGACTCAAACCTCTCCCCCAGGTCGGGGAATGTGGCTCTGAGATGGGGGGCCAAGAATCAGCAGGGTTTATTTTTTGTTTTTTGTTTTGAGACAGGGTCTCACTTTATCACCCAGGCTGGAGTGCAGTGGTGCAGTCTCAACTCACTGCAAGCTCCGCCTCCTGGGTTCAAGCAATTCTTCTGCCTCGGCCTCCTGAGTAGCTGGGATTACAGGCGTGTACCACCATGCCCAGCTAATTTTTGTATTTTTAGTAGAGATGGGGTTTCACCATGTTGACCAGGCTGGTCTCAAAATCCTGGCCTCAAGTGATCCACCTGCCACAGCCTCCCAAAAGCTGGAATTACAGGCATGAGCCACCATGCCCAGCTGGAATCAGCATTTTTAAACAAGCAGCCCTGCCTGATGATTCGGTACCAGGACCATGAGCTCAGACACACGATGTGATAACACATGTTTGGACCAAGCTGGGACCTAAGGCCAAAGAGAGGACACAAGCCCAGCCCCAACACCACCTCAGGGATCGTCCCCGCTGGGGCAGCGGAACATTAGCAGAATCTCTAAGAAGATGTGGTTTGAAAAGATGCGTTTATTATTGAGATATAATTTAATAGGAAAACATCCATTGCTTTGTTAATATAAATGAGAGAAAATAAGGCTGGATTAAGTCTTCTTGGCAGATGGAGAATGGGGGAGTCTTCATAGGGAGTGGCCACCATCCCTGGTGTGGGCGGTGATGGCATACAAAGGCTTACTAGTTCCCAATACAGTGATGGGGACTAAACTGATTCAATCTCACCAACTTCCTCTGGTGCCTACTGTGTACAGGGCACAGTGGGAGAGGGGAGGGGCCTGGGGAAGCCAACCATTCAACACACATGTTTTGAATAACCTCTGTGGGCCATTTAGCCCTGTTACAAATATGTATTGCGTACCCACTATGAGCCAGACACGTTCCAGGTGCAGTCGGATACGGAAATGAACAAGACAGGCACATTCAGTGCCCTCCCAGAGTTTTTAGTCTGAGTGGGTGGATAGGAGAAGACAGAAGAAAAAGTCAATGAGCAAATCAATAAACTAGTTGCAGACTGTGATGAGTGAAGGGGGTAAGAACTGTGCAACAATAGAGATGAGAAAGTGGCCGTGCTTCAGGAAGGGCTTCCCGGAAGAGATATCATTGAACTGATGGGCCTGAGAAGGCTTAGGGGAAAGCATTCCAGGCAGAGGGTCCCTGAGAAACCCTGACACTCAGGGTTTGGTCTGAAGTGGCTCCTGGGTGAGCAGAGGACTCAGACACCCAGGGAACGAGGCAGAGTATGGTCCTGCCACAAATGAGGTCCATGCAGGCAAAGTGCTTTGAGGACACGAAGAAGAAGGCATCTTGTATGACTGGGCATCTTGGAAGGCTTTAGAAGAGCCGTGTTCCCTCCCCAACCCCAGTCCCCACTGGGGCTTCCCGCCAGCAGGTCTGCTGGGAGTGGCAGAAGGTGTCCCTGGAATGCCTT